CGCGGAAATTGGGAGGGTTGACAAGTATGTTGTCAACTAACCATTCAGAAACGTCCTGCTGCAACCGAGATGTTTGCACCTCCAACAAAACCTCCGCTGCTTCAGGGTCAGTTTCTGGATCAAATTGATAATATGCTTGAACACATGCATTGCTCTGAGATGACATGTTTATTCCACACTCGTAATCACAACAAGCATGGTAACGTGACTCTCGCCGGCTCATGCCCCCCTCTTTTGCAGGGGGGCCTGGTCGGGAGTCTGGTCAGCTGCTGCTCAGAATGTTCAAAGACAGGCTTGGAATAGAGCGAAAATGAGCGAAATGAGGCATGGCTAAAAAATGATCTGTTTGGTATTTTGAAAAATAAAATGTATAAATATACCTTATATAGGTATGGTCATACACTATATCATTTAAATATAGCATGATAGGTCTCCTTTAAAAAAAAAATCATGTTCAGTTCCACAGCACCACGATGGATAGTATTAATTATAGTGATTAATCAACCTTTGTACTTGTTTAAAGCTTGGATCTCATTTTGTGTTACTTCTAACGGAAACGTTTTGATCTATAAATACAAATTTGACGGAATCTGTGGACCTGCATTATGGCGATTGGGAAAAGTGGTAATGCAGATGGTGAGTTAGTGATATTAAGCCAGATAATAATAAAAATGTCAAATCATGTCAACTAGAGTGTTACCTTTTTTGCTTACGCTGGATTTCACATTGATTTTCTGGGTACAATTGTTTCAACATGTTGCAGTAATTTTGTTACTTGCAAAAGTTATTGTTGTATGTATTTGATATAACTTTTTTCTGTCATGCAGTTAACAAAAGGATGACTGGAAATGAGCTATAAAATCTGGCATAAAACATTTATTTTATTTTATGAGATTAATGTGTTTGTCTGCATGGTCCTTGTTTAAATAAATACATACAAAAATACTCAGAATGATTCCAATCCACTTCCAAAGGTGATAACATTTGTCAACATACAACACAGGGTTGCACACAAAAAACAAGTTATATCTCTCACAGGCTCCACCCTCTACTGGACACTATGGGTACTACCTTACCCTGCGAGCATTCTCCCACTGAGACTTCTATAGACGTACCCGGCCTTGGGCGGGCCTACCTGAA